GTACACTCAATGTTACAACCACCTAATCAATGTGTTGGTTAACCACACATGCTCCATTGATCTATGATTAACATCAAGCTACCCTTTGCCACGCACTGTTAGTCCATATTAGTGTGCTGGTTAACCACACATGCTCCACTAACACCTTAACAAGGTGCAAAGTGCAATTTCATGGGTTAGCACCATATTCATATTTTCCTAAAGTAACTAATATTGGGAATTTATAAGAGTTTAGTTACTTTATATTTATCATTATACTTTTAATGAAGGGAAAATTAGAGTCTTATCCCACCTGTTCGGCTAACGACACTCCACTAGTTAAGGAAGTGGTGGGTAAGAGTGGACAACCATTAAACTGTCATTTTTTAGGGAGTAACTGTGACATCCCCAATTTCACGGCCAGAAAAAACCGATTTAGTTTATGCTTTTAAAATAAAATGCAGAGTAGTTTTTCATAAGGTGTTGCGGAATTTGTCCCCAAAACAAAATATGATAAAAAGTTATCAAAGCATTTCTCAAAGAAATGTATTTTCATTATATAACAAAACCTCGGGATGTCATGATTCGATACGGACCAAAAGCATAAACAGTACATTATAAGCCTTATAACAATTATTTACAACCACTGTCCTATAATCCAAAAACCCTCATCATCATCCTACTATGCTCTGGGTCCACTAAATGTAATATAAAAAGTTGATTGGGTCAGGCTTGGGAGCCTAGTGATCATATAAGATTTTCAACCCACAATTAATAAATTATTTAAATTCATCAACCAAAAATAAATTTATTAATTTCATCACCCAACAATAAATTTATCAATCCAAAAACAATTTATTAATTTTTTATCTACCAACAATATCCCTGATTACTCATTCCCATTATCCTCACTTTACGTCCCTAAACACCTATCACAAGAGACCTAGTCTAAGTATTTATCATCGGGATGGACTTTACTGCTAAGGGGATTCCTCGTCCATATATGTCCGTAAGGCAACCATGAGGGTGATGGAGTACGCCAATGAACACATTGTTCACAAACACCTACAGGTTGCGAGCCTGTCAGCGTTCCAGTGGACTGTCTCGAAAAGTCTGTGGTCGTCATCTATACTACGCTAGATGACTGGATCAACAACAACATCGAGGCCTCTCATCATTTTATCACACATCAACTTATTTCTTCTACCCATGTTATACCCAACATATTTGTAGATAAAATATATATACATATTTTAAATCATTTTAAACATGTATAAAACATTCATTCAACTTCCAACTCAAATAAACAATCAATATAAATACACATAGCACGTATTTTATAGAAAATACTTTATATCTATGTGTAATATGAAAGTGACTGTACACTAACATCATAAGACGATAATTGGGTAGCACCTCGTCAATTAAATTAATCTTTTCTGATAAAACCGGGGTGTTTTCTCTAAAACCGGGCTTTACACGGACAAAGTTTCGGCTTGAAAATTATTTTCCTTGGGATCTTCGGGACCTCTGGGGCTTGCCTATGAGGCTAGGATAATATTCTTGGCTTGGGGTAGTTTTTGTAATAAGAAGGAAAGTAGAAGGTAAGAAAGGGTAAATTTTGTAACATTAACCCGGCTGCCTTCGATCACTATTTATAGGGGGATGAAGCTCCTTGGTACGTTGGGCGTACTGGGTGGATCAACTCGGACTCATCGGAGCTACGTACACGTGTCACACATGCAATGGGGTAGGGAACGTGACGAACTCCGGGCTATGTACACGAGTACGTTGGGCGTACTCCTTTCGTACACTGGGCGTACTCCCATTTCCAAACTTTAAAAATTCGTAACTTTCTTATACAAACTCTGTTTTTGACATTCTATATATCCACGCGTAGGTGTGACTATGCTCTACAACTTTCGTTTAGACTGCGTCGGCTAATTTTGACTTTATTTTTAAATTTATATTATTTACATGCCGGGACAGGAAAAGTCCGTTAAAAATTCATAACTTCTTTATCCGACGTCCGTTTTCATCTGTCTTTTTTCCATTAAACTACAATCGACAACATCTTTGATTCTCGTTCAGATTGTTTCGGCTAAAAATCACTCGATCTAAAATTCGAGTTCCGGGCCGCATACTGCTAAGCTGAAACTTAGAAAAATCATAACCTCATCATATGAAGTCATATTTGGGCGTTCTTTTTATGCAGGCTCTCGGTTTACCGAACAGTACGACTTTCGTTTAGATTGCTAAGGCTAAAAAGCATTTTATCATAAATTCACCTTTTACGTCACATAACGTCGTGTCGGTTCTGTCGCGAAACTTCGACAGTTCATAGCTTCTTCGTTATAACTCGGATTTCTGTCTTCTTTATATCCCCGTAATCCTTGTTTCGACCACTACAACTTTATCCTTAGATAGAGGCTTTATTTAATATTTAATTTCGACGCTTATTTTTATCCTTCATTCATTAATCATAATAATTAAGCAAATAAGCACATAATATTCACATAATTTCTCTTTATTACTTCAAAATGAGTTACAAACTTTGACCTAGACGATTACATCGTCATTATTGCTTTAGCCCAGAAACACGGGCGTTACAGTAACTTTATACCCCCCTTATAGACCAGTTTCATGAATGACACCTATTAATGGTAAGACTAACTTTACTCTTATACATATATATATATATATATATATATATATATATATATATATATATATATATATATATATATATATTAAACCTATAATATTATATAGTATAAGGGTTGCATTTTTAAACTTTTTAAAATTCTAGGGTTTGGAACTAAACGTGTCAAAAGAAGACTCTACATTTACAAATTCCAAAACTTGAGGGCAAGTTTTGAACTATTTAAAAACCTTTGGAATTCATAACTTATGAGTTTGATAAAGATTTTATGAAAAAAAACTCTTGACATTCCACAACTTGAGGACAAGTTATGAAGTTCATAAAAATATTTATGTATGACCTTTCAAGTTCCATAACTTGAGGACAAGTTATGGAAGACATAAAACTATTTTATGATGACATTTAAAAAGAGACTTTTCACTTTCCATAACATAAGGAAAAGTTATGGAATTCATCAAAACACTTAGATCAAAAAATTTTAACTTACAAAAAAACAATCAATTTGCCTATGATCTAAATTAAACACATAACAACAAGACAAATCATATCAAACAAATTTCATGTAATTAGTATAACCATATAAACTAATACAAAACATGAAACTTTGACAATTATCTTATAAATTGAGCACGATCATTACAACATCAAAAATAGGTTTATAAGTTCAAAAAAACTTAGGGTAATTATCCTAGTCCAATTCTAGCAAAAAACCTCGAATATCTACATCTTAGAGCACCAACTCGTTGGGTGTATGAACAAACTCAGCGAGTTGGTTAGTTTTGGCCTTGGACTTGGCGATTCCATCAGTGGACTCAGCGAGTCCATAGTCCTGAATGCATAAAATCGATTTTTTTCAAGCTTAAACAACAAGTAGCATCAAGTATAATTGAAAACAACCCTAGGCTCTGATACCACTGTTGGGTTTTGAGCATTCTAACACTCCTAAGGTGTACATGCAACCCTAAATACCTTGGATCTATGTTTTCTCTATTATACATGCAAAATTGAACATTCCAAGGTATTACCCTCACTGGCATACAAAAGTTTGATACTTGGGTAATAACACAAGTTAGATAACATACATTTTCTTGTAGCTTGTTGTTTGGACTTTCAAGAGCTTAGCACGAATAGTATAAATGCCTCAAATGGAATCACACAACACCACCAACAAATGAAGGAGCTTGAGAGGAGATCACTTACACTGATAAAATTCGACTAGCCCTCTAGTATTCCACTTAGTGCCAATTTCATGAGCTAGCGGGGTTCTTATATAGTGTGGCTATCTAGGGTTACACCATGTAAACCCTAATGACTTTCTATATCCCTCATGCTCCATGGGTTAAAACCTCCATGGAGTATCCATGGGTTACCACATAGGTTTAGCCCAACATGAATAACTACGGATATAAGCCCACTTTGTAAGAATGAATGATTTACCAAATCAACCCCTTATATTTAATTAATCTCTTTTGACCACAAAATGAATTATAAATTAATCCTTGATCATTACTAATTAAATAATATGATTTCATATTAATATATTAGAACTTATAATATATTAATAAACCATAAATAACCTCTTCTCAATTATCTATCCTTTAGATAATTCTTGTGTCATGCAACCCAAATGGACCATGTTACTTTCGGGTCAAGTACATACCAATTATAGTAATGGACGTAGACATTAATCCGACATAGGCATCCTTGTGAACATATCTTATATGGACAGAAATGTCAATATGGGTGATGGGGTGTCGACTTCTGAAGCACAAGGTACTACTTCGATTCAAACTTCAGTAATTTCTGTTGTTCTTTCAACCACCATCGAATCAACCACTATCGATACTTCTACTTCGTTACCACCATTCATTTTTCCTACACACACTTCATTATCGGTTTCTTCCATATCACCTAGTTTCTCAAACATTATGAATGATCCCATTACTTCTCTATTTTCTTCACAATTAACCGAAGGAGAAAAATCCATTCCTGATGATAGTCAAGCAGATGATGATGTTATGGTTTTAATTGTTGATATTCAATTTGATCCTAAGGAGTAAAATATTCCAGATCACATGCTTATGTCTGGTATGCAGTTCAAGATCCTCAATCAAAAGTTGAATTCTTTACTACAACTTCAAGCTGATGCTGGGATTAGAAATAGTGTTTCTGGAATCGAAGTTGATGTTTTGCTTAAAGCTCAAGAACTTCGTTTGAAAACAGTCATGGAATAGATTAAAAAAATGAAGACTTGTTGAAGTGTCAATCTGAGTCTTTTAACCATGAAGTCAAATTTTGAGGGTTGTTGCCAAAGAAAGATATATTCTCTTTGTTCAACCTATTAAGAAAGTGAAGGAGGATGTCAATTTTAAAATTGAATAGATTCGTACTAATATGTCCCAGGAGGTTGCTAAGCCATAATTATTCCAATCTGCATACTAATATTGATATAATTGTTGATGATGTTAAGAAAGTTGTTGATTTCAACAATTCTCTTCTTAACAAGGTTGATACGAAGTCAAACTTTGATTCTAAAGTTTTTGCTAACCTAGAAGAGTTATTGGGGAGTTTGAAGGGATCCTTGTCAAAGCTTGAAGTTTCTCCTTCATCTTCGATTTCTCAAGAGTCTTTTTCGAAGTTTCTTTCTACCTTCGAAACTAATCTCAAGGCTGAAGTTGCTCCTTTATTATGATTGGTGAATTTAATGCCAACTGATGCCCCACCTGTGTCTCATGTGGTACAAGGGGGAGAAAGGGATGTTGGCATGGGATCTTCGAAAGTTGCTGGTACTGGTTTGTCAAAAGATAATTATAGTGGAAAAGTTGTTTGGAAAGTAATCAGTACTCATATTACAACTTCATTTCCTACTTCGTTAGTAACAACCTCAACTACCATGACTTCAAGACCTTTAACCATGGGTGTTCTCATTGGTCCTTCTGGTGGAGGTTTGAGTTTAAAACCACCAATTTCAAAGGAAGATAAAGGTGCTAAAGGGAAGGGGATTGAGCCTTCTATAGAAGAAAAGAAGAAAGCTCAAGAAGCTAAAATGGAAAGGCGAAGACAAATTCATAGCATCATACGTCAAAGGCAAAATGATCCTCCGGGACTTGAAAAAGGTGATCCAACAAAGCCATTCTGTTTTGAAACTATCAAGAATATATTTTTCAATGGCTTGATGCATGATTTCAAGAAAATTCCTGAAAGAAGTTATGATATTAAAAATACTGATTTTAATCAGTTGGATTTTCCTATTAGTGAGATAATGTTTATCTCAGCTCAGTATCAAATTGTGAATAATTTCGAAGATAATGAGGAATACAAGAATTTGAAGATAAGATTTCACAGCGTTCTTGGTAAAAGAAAAGAAGAAATTTGGTGACTGGTGAAAATAGTGAAAGTTCTCAACATTTTGAAAGATGTTTTATTCAAAGGGTTGTTGCAGAATTCTCGATATTTCGTGGTCAGAGCCAACAATGTAGCAAGTGGTTTTTCTGTTGCTGATTTTCCCTTGATGAATATGAGTGACCTTATTAGTGTTGCAAGGATTCTAAGTGCATTGGATTCATCAAAACTACCTCCAAACAAGGAAAACTTATTGATTGGATTCGCACACATCAAGTTGATATTATTATGATTGTCTAGCCTTGACCGATGTTAAACTTGCCTTAGCCATAGGATGTCAAGTGAGTGTGCCCAAATCTTTGCTAAAAGGTCAAAGGAATTTGAAGAACTTCGATGATGGAGAAATTGTTTTAAAGCCATTGGGAGTAGTGTTTGTTAGGAAGAAAAAGAACAATAGAATGACAAAAGAGATTATGCGGTAAGTATGAAGAAGATTCCTCTCTGTTGCGACTCTGAGAGTGCAATTAGGATTTGTCATAATCCAGTGCAACACTCAAAAATCAAGCACATTGCACTTAGGTATCATTTCATCAAGGATTATGTAGAAGATGGGAACGTGGAAGTACACTTTTTTCGATCTACTAATCAACTGGCTGGCATCTTTACTAAAGCTTTACCGGAAGCAACCTTTAACAAAATCTTACAAGGCTTGGGCATGATGGAAGGAGAGTCGGTACCGAATCCTCAAATCTCTCATTAAAAATTAGACTACTGAAATGGACAGACCGCTTGGTCTATTTCGGCTCTAGACTTTTAGGGAACCGAAATGGACAGACCGCTTGGTCTATCTCGGCTCCGTAGTTTTCTGGAACCGAAATGAACCGAATGCTCGGTCTATTTCGCTTCACTCATTTAAAGATAAGGCTTCAGTTGTATATTTTGTGCATATCTTTCTTTTGATTTGAACTTAATTATTCTGTCTTTCTGTTTTTATTCTTTTTCAGAAAATTTCAAAAATCCAAAAATATTTTATCTATCTGTTTTTATTCTTTTTCAGAAAATTTCAAATATCCAAAAATATTTTATCTTTCTGTTTTTATTCTTTTTCAGAAAATTTCAAAATTTCAAAAATATTTTATCTATCTGTTTTTATTCTTTTTCAGAAAATTTCAAAAATCGAAATTTTTTTTTATCTTTCTGTTTTTATACTTTTTCAGAAAATTTCAAAACTCCAAAAACATTTTATGTTTTTGTTTTTGTTATTTTTCAGAAAAATTCAAAACTTTCACTAAGTTTTATTTGTCTCGTTTGTTTGTCTGTTCGGTTTGTTTGGTATGTTTCTTTATTCTTCTTAGGTGATATGAATACCCGTATAGCCGACTGTGGATCTAAGGAAGGTATGATTCAATTTCAAAATGAACTAGTTAAGGGTCCCTAGAAGCATGCTCCTGCATGTTGTCTTAAGCCTCTACGATCTTGAGCAGGCGTTAATGATTCGATCTACACCTATTGTTTCTTCCAAATCAGTCTAATTTATACTACTCAGTCTAGAGCTACCTTACTCTTCTCATATGAGTTAAGAGTTTTCTGCTCTGTCAGGATTATCTAGCAGAAGGTACATTTGGTTCTTTAGCCACCTCCTTATATTCTCCATCTACTTTCAGTTCACCAATGTAACCCTTGAGACTCTCGGTCTTTACCATTGAGGTTTATAGTTACACAACATCTGTGTTTGTGATCTTAGATACGTTTACCACGTGCTGAGTGAAACCCAATATCCAACACCAAAAATGAATTGACGGTGAATTATATATTCAAGAACTCACTGGTTACCTAAGGAAATCTCTCTTTTTATTTTTGTGTGATCTTTTATGAAATTGTCTACTGCTAAGGCATTTCTTACCAAAGAGATTCCGTTTTTTTTTTTTTTTTTTTTTTTTTTTTTTTTTTTTTTTTTTTGAGATTTCTAATTTCTCTATAGTCACTAAAATAATATATCCCACCTAACTGTTCTACAGAGCACATCGGTCTCATAGGTACTTCTTCCAACGTTAGGTTTTATGTTAAAACTCGAAGTTCGGTTGAAGACAAGCTACCCTAAGCCTATGATTAAAAGAAGCCTTTCAATGTTTATTAACAAACAGTTGATCGTATTTTTCGGGAAACCACACAAGCACTTTAAGTCTCTCTTGACTTTGAAGGAAGTGATTCTTGCCCGGAATCCTCTGCTTTCTGTCTAATAATAAGACATCACTCACATACCATACACATTTGATTTGTTTCTTTATCTTTGTCACACTTATGCATGAAATTTTTTATTTTCCAACATTCTAGTTACTGTTTGGTTTGAGTTTAAGGTTATCTATTGCAACCAAACAAGGGGCTATTGTGGAATTTCAAACGCTGATTGAAGATAAGATTTAGGCACATGAATTTGATCAGGTTCTAAACCCATGCGTGCTGACGTATACCTGGGAGTAACCACACTATCCCATCGCGCTTTTTCAAGCGACGTTTTAGTGATCTCATCATTGTCATCCCGGTTTTCTCTCTCCAGGAAATGGTATATAAAGGGTTGAACGTTTTATTTGTCTTTTACCAGCACTCAATTCTCTCAACTTAAACGACAAGTAAACACTGTTCATCTTCTTCTTCGTTCGTCAATGGCGACTTCCTCTTCAACACATGATCAGACGGCATCATCATCCTTGCTCACCATTAAACCTAACCAAAATATGATCATCGAACTTAATCCGTTCTTGTATGACTCATATATGCTACAGGTTGTGGAATGTTTAAAATATTCCCCTCTGGTTATAGCCCTAACCCAGGTTGAAGCAGTCCCAATGTCGCTGTTATCACAGGTTTATTCCACGGCGACTTATGAAAAAACAAAGATCGCATCTATTTTACCATCCACGACAAGAAGACTTCGATTTCAAAGGTGAAGTTTTGTTCGATTTTGAATCTTGCAGTAGATTCTTCTATCATCTCGCCAGACTTTATCACCACATCTCAGTTATTTTCAATGATGTACGAGATGGGGTATACCGATGTGCTAACGACTATTACCAAAGTGAAGAAATCTTGTTTACCCTCTCAATGGAATGGCTTGCTCACTCTACTGATTAAGGGTTTAGCAGAACGAAGTGGTGGTTCCGGTACTACTAGCAAGGGTTTTCTTGCTATTCTTTACGATCTCTACAATGGGATCAATCTTGATTATGGCTCTATAATTTGGTCTCAGGTGATGCAGAGTCTCAATTCATCGACACGGCATTCTGAAGTTTCATGTGGATGTTTTTGGACCCTGATTACATGGAAGGCAATTAATTCTTTAGAAGATTCCGATCATGCAGGATGCTCTACTTGCTTCTATTGCCACATTTCATACAAAGAAGATAATTCTCTCTGATCCGCTCAAGTTTCCTCATTATGGAACGATTCCTGAAACCATGTATCGTGGTGTTACGGAAAAGAGCAATGTCTTGGCTGACTATAGGAAACTTCCTCCTAAAGGACCGAGAGTTATGTCTCCTGAGCAGCAAGCAGCTTTGGATGCACTGGAGAAACCTACCAACAGAGGAAAGAGGGTTTCAAAGAAAGAGGATCCTAAGGAACGTAAGTCCAAGTCCTCTAAACACAAGACTGGTGAAGGAGATACTTCTCAACCGAAACAGAAGAAAATAAAGAAGATGGCTTGCAGACCTAGAGAGAACACTCCTCCATGCACAGATCATGCAGATGAGCAAAGTGAGGAAGAAGAGGTTCGTCATGTCTCACCCCGAGAGCCCACTCCTCCACGTTCTCCTACTCCACCAGAATATCCAAATCACAACAGAGTTCCAACTCCATCCCAATCACCGAAACAGACTGTTCCACGTTTTGTTCCCACTGTTACTACACCCCTTACCACTCAAGCAACAACTTTGCCAACCCCACCACCAATTACTTCAGTTCCTATTTCTACTATACCCTTATCTTCTCCACTTATAACCGAATCAACAACCACTACCATTCCCAAATCCACAATGGAAGTCAATGTATCTGATACAGGGGCTACAACTGTGACTGAAACTCCAATCATTAACAAAGCACCTTCACCAACCCCATCATCTGATTTTGGTGCTACTCTTGGGGGAGACGATGAGGAATTTGACTCAATCTACTACAGTCCTTACAGACTTCCAACTGATGATGAGGTTGATGCTCCTGTCACAGGTCAACAAATACAGGGCATTCATGAGAAGTTGGATCGATTTCTTGACGACAGCAAAGCCTATGGTGGTGGTGTTCTTAAAGCATTTCTGGAGACAGCCATTGAACAGTATACTGAGGCAATTGACAAAT